CAAGAGGCCCAAGAAGGTAGGCCACATGGAAAGAATCTACTCTGTGTATAAAACAGCAATGTGGCAACAGAATACTGAAACCTCTTTCACATTCATCCATGTTTAAGCAGAGGAAGAAATTCTTTCCTTCTCTGAGTCTGTGGGCAACACTACTTAAATCACAAATACTTAGTTTCAGCAGTTATTCTTATCTGAATTACTCTGTTGCTGTCAGGAAAACTCAGAATTTTCCTGTCAGCGACAGAATAATTCACATAAAGTTGCAGATAAATCATATGCTTATCCAAATACTTGCTCCTCTAGTTCTGGAATTGAGGAACCATGTAGATTCAGCTAGAGTGTTACACTTCCCTATCTGAGGTTGGTCTCCAAACTAGGGAACTAAAGAGACGCAGAAGGCAAAGTATACTCCCAAATGGTAAGCTTTGATGAATTTACCAATGCCATCTTAACTAGGGATCGCCCAGTTTTCTTTCTTTCTTTTTTTGAAAGCGAGTCTCACTATGTCGCCCTTGGTAGAGTGCCTTGATGTCATAGCTCATAGCAACTTCAAACTCTTGGGCTTAAGCGATTCTCTTGCCTCAGCCTCCCCAGTATACAGGCACCTGCCATAGTACCTGGTTGTTTTCAGTTGCAGTCGTCATTGTTGTTTAGCAGGCCCAGGACAGGCTCGAATCCACCAGTCTCGTGTATGTGGCCAGTGCCTTACACTCTGAGCTATGGGTGCCAAGTCATCATCCAGTTTTCTGAAGCAAGTCTGTGTTATTTTTTTGCTACTTAAAAGTTAGCATACATCTACCCTATTGGCAAATTTTGTCAGTGTCAAATCCACAACACATACTTGTCTTTTGGAATTTCTTGTTTGCAAAGGGGTGAGCCATGAACCGTGAACTGCATGCTAACAGACTCCAGAACCAGTGCTTGTGCCTAAGGGTATAGGAGGGTGAAAAAGCAAGTGCGCTGAACCCTGTTTGTCTGTATTTGTAATTTTTTTTTTTTTTTT